GATAGTCAGTGGGGGCAGGGTCTGGCGAGTACGGTGGGTGACGGAGAGTTTCCAACTTCAACTCCTGTAGCTTTGACACGGTCGTTCGTGCGGCACGTGGTCGAGCGTTGTCGTGCAGGAGGATTGGAGTCATCGGTCAATTCATGCGGTATCCACTTGTCCAGCTTTTTCACTTTACCGATTTCTGCCAAATGAGTCAAGATTGTTTGCTTCGATACATTGTACATTAATGATAATTCACGCGCACTTTGGCTGGGATTCGCTTCCGCAGTGGCTTTCAGGACGACGTTATCCACCCGAGTCTTGGGTCGACCACGTGGTTCATTAGACAGGTCGAAATCTCCCGAACGGAATTTTTTAAACCAACGAGCTACAGTCGCGTTTGTAGCCACTTGAATGCCGAACACACCATTGATATTGGCGACTGCCTGCCGTGTTGTGGCTCCACGGTGGAACTCGTACTTCATCAACGCACGAATTTCGCCGATTTCCATGGTCTCACTTAATCGCCTATACAAAAAAACTATTGCAAATTTGTTCAAACTGAAATATGAGTTAGAAAGAGGAAAAGATGCACCTTTCACACGAAAAACAAATCATGCCAAAATACGGCGTCTAAATGAGGTTGTTTGCGATTGAAATAAATAACATGATGTTTGCTCCATTTCATACTTGACAAACTAATACAATCCCTGGCAAAAATCCGTCAGCTAATCAATCTATTTAGTCTTGTCATAAATGGCACGATACTCGCAGTCCAACGATGATATTATTTGTATGAATCTCACGACCATGTGAACTGTTAGCGGAAATAGGCATTCCACCGGCGCCAGCGCTGGTAGCGGACTCCTTGACTGCGACCTCCCTGCGCCTCGAGTGGAAAGGAATAGACATCGAAAGACGCGGCGGAGGCATCTCGTACTTGGTGCAATGGAGATACGAGGAGCTGGCCGAGACATGGCAGTACTGTAGGAACCAATCGTGGGGCGAAGACGATCAGATTCTGGTGGAAAACTTGCAACCGTACACGAAATACAGAGTAAGTTCATCGACGCTCTTCGAACCATTACTGTTATAATCGATACGAGAGAAATCGTTGCATAACAATTACTACGATAATTCAAGTGCATTCGATAAGTTAACGTAAGAAGAGTCTCGTCTCACGAGACACCCTTGACTTCTACGATTACTTGTGAAGAATCGTGAATATTACTTGCGAAAGATTTGATTCGTTCTAATGTAAAATTTCTTAATACGCTCTGAAAATCTGCCGGTATTAATTACAGGGTTCAGAACAGATTTGTATAAAATGAGCACATTGCAAATACATCGATTGAAATTTTGTCGTTTCATTGAGTGGATTTCGACGGAATTCGGTGTAACAGAGCCCATATATTGAATTTGATTTAACACTGGTTTTGCATTCCAAGTTCACCCTTCGTTATCTAGTTTTAAACCGAGATAAACATCCAACGTAGAAATATTGCAAATTTAAAATTTTATTTATTTACGTATATAACAGTGAATATAAAATACTTATTTACTTAGGTAAACATAATTTCGTCTATAATGTTTCTCCTGCCATTATTATTTCATTATAATGACAATAATTGTATAATAATAATAATATAATAATATTATATATATAATATATAATAATATAATAGTATATTATTATTTACTTAGGTAAACATAATTTCGTCTATAATGTTTCTCCTGCCATTATTATTTCATTATAATGACAATAATTGTATAATAATAATAATATAATAATATTATATATATAATATATAATAATATAATAGTATATTATTATTTACTTAGGTAAACATAATTTCGTCTATAATGTTTCTCCTGCCATTATTATTTCATTATAATGACAATAATTGTATAATAATAATAATATAATAATATAATAATATATTATTATTTACTTAGGTAAACATAATTTCATCTATAATGTTTCTCCTGCCATTATTATTTCATTATAATGTGATAATAATTATATAATAATAATAATATAATAATATAATAATATTATATATAATATAATAATAATTATGACAATTTGTGGAAGCAATAGTTGCAACAGAACGATTATCAATGTCCCGTTAGAAATTCGAAATTCGAAGGATCGATCGACGCACGTTTCTGCATAAAATTAAAACCTTGAAAGATCAGCTTCGATTAGGTTCACCGTTGGAGAAATGATAACGATGGAAATGATAAAAATGTGCCTTTTCTGACCACCTAGATCGCACGCTTCCGGGGGCCGCTCGAAGAAAGGTGAATATGATCAGCGGGAGGATGAGAATTTGTAGTGCAAGACCCGTAGTTTGGACCAATTTCATAAATCCGAATAACGCTGAATAACGATAGTGTTTAGCGGGGAATAAAGTCTGACCTATGTTCTCGGGGTTGTTTTGCAGTTTCGCGTAGCATTACTGTTGAAGTCGTCGCAACACAATCCGGAGCCGATCGTCTCCGCTGCGAGCGTCGTGATACGAACGCTGGCGGCCGGTCTCCCGACCTCAGCACCGGTAATTGTAAGAGCGGCGGTGGTTGACAGCTGCCGCGTCTCTGTGTCTTGGGAACCGGGCCCTTTCCCGAATGGGCCACTTTTGTCTTATGTCCTGCGTCTGCAAGGGGCTGACCACTCCCAGCTTAAGGTACACGCCACGCCAGAACTTGACACATCAAGTGACATTAATATATGTATACTATCGTTTGTGTTCTGAGTTGCATAATCGTTAAGCCGTCACGTTTTCAACGTCTCGATTCTATTCTGTCTAAGCTAATCGTCGTCGCAGACGTTCGTCTTTTCCTGTTCTTCTTTAACTTTCGTAGCAAGTAGCGCTTCAAAACACCAACTGGTTCTGCAAGATCGCTCTCCTTCCACGAAAGGGATGATTCGATATAGAGGAAACGCGGAAATCCAAGGGAGAATTAATACTTTCTTTGCTTGCGCGTTGTTGGATTGCGAATCTTTTTCTGCGAAATACAATGTTCGGTGTGTCCGTTTTTGTTTGTCCCGCAATGGCTGGATCCGGATGAAAGTAACCGTAATTTTTATAACCCTAATATAATTAATTATATTAGGTCTACCGGGAAGTTCTGTCTGATAATGTCATTGCAAATTTCGATAGGTATGCACCTGTTCATTTGAGGCGTATATTTTTGAAAAATGTTGCTCACAAATTGCCATCACGCTGGCAAAAAGTCATAAGTAACGACGGAAATTATATTGTACAATAAATATTACTAAATTTATGAAAAATCTATTATTTCCTTTCATTTCTCAAACGGACAGACGGTAGACCTAATATGTGTAATGAAATTGTTGACAATTTTGAGGAGTCTATGAATATATTATACTTGGAATTTTGATAAAGAAAATCATTAATATCGATATCCGAATAATTGTCTTTACTTATATATATTACTAAATTTATAATATTACTAAATTGATGAAAAATCTATTATTTCCTTTCATTTCTCAAACGGACAGAACTTTCCGGTAGACCTAATATGTGTAGTGAAATTGTTGACAATTTTGAGACAAGTCTATGAATACACTTGAAGTTTTGATGAAGAAAATCATTAATATCGATATCCGGATAATTGTGTTTAGAAATTGAAAGTTCTATAACATTTGCAACCTGGTAATAGCGATATTAAATTTAGAGGATGCAACATTATTAAAACTTCGAACATTCGATTATTGTCGACTTTGAAAGCTTAATCTACGAGCAGATTTTATAGAATTGAAAAGTGGTATTAAGGCGAATAAAAACGTACATCGCGAAACCTCATTTTTAGAATCATCATGAATAGTTTCACCGAAGCTGTAAAACGTCATTTTTAATACAGTTAAACTCGGACGACGTTGATATTATATTATCACTAAGTGACTTATAAATAATTAACGATTCTTTCGGTGAAAACATTTTTTCCTTAATTTTGTCCCCAACTTTATAAAGTTCACCCGCATCCATTCTTTGAAACTTTAAACTGTATTTCGCACAAATGCATGAACATTCGCAGTCCACGCGTTACCATTGTTGAACGAAGACGCTGCATCCCAAAATATACAGGGTGTCCCAAAAATGTCTCGCAATCCGAAAGTGGTGGGTTCCTCGGGTCATTCGAAGCAACTTTTTCCTTTACAACAATTTTCTCCGAGGCACCGTTAACGAGTTATCAACGAAAAACAGTGACCAATGAGAGGCGAGCTCGGCTGGCGCGAGGCGACCGAGCCAATGAGCGGAACTGGGCTTTGCGCGCTGGTTGGCTGCGCCGCCTCGCGTCAGCCGTACTCGATTCTTATTGGTCGCTGTTTTTCGTGAATAACTCGTAAACGGTGCCTCGGAGAACATTTTTGTAAAGGAAAAAGTTGCTTCGAATGATCCGAGGAACCCACCATTTCCAGATTGCAAGACATTTTTGGGACACCCTGTATACATACAAGCTTCCATATTTCAGGGACTGCTAATATTTCTAATATTATATATTGCTAATATTTCGCCTGCGGTACACTCGATAATCAAATTCGTGCTAAAACTAACAACTACGTTGCTTTCTGTAATTCTTACTCGACTGTCGCTAATCTCTCTATCCACGTTGCAATTTATAATGCCACAATGCCGACACTTGCTTTTTCACTTGCAAGAACCAGATCTTCGACAACATATGTTTCTGGCATGGCGTTTTTTCCCTTCTCGCATACTGATATCCTAACAAGGGATCGACAGGGATCAATGCGCAAACATTTTCTTTAACCGGCTTTACGATTCGATAGGACATACCAGCGTCGGAGAATACGGATCATTACATGTTCCAAAATCTCGAGCCCAATAAGAATTACTCCATAAGCGTCACTATGAGGAACGGCGTTGGCGAAGGTCCTCCTGCGATCATCTACATCGCGACCACTAAAGAACTGGCTGGTATGTTTTCAAATTTTCATGTGATCTATAGTTTTGCACACTGACAAGGGACTGTACTGCAAATAACATCCGTCAATCTTGATAAAACATTGACGAGAAGTTGTTCACACGTTTGTTCGTATAAGAAATATGAGAATAAAAGAAAAATTAACATTATTCGATACATAAAAAGTTAATTGTGCCAGAAAAGAAATATTATATTATATTATATTATATTATATTATATTATATTATATTATATTATATTATATTATATTATATTATATTATATTAATATTATAATATATAAGAAAGGCGCAGCAATTGGTCACCCTGCAGTAAACGGCACCGCTATCCTATTCTGAAAAATTCGTACTTTTCGAATTCGTTACATTCGACACGTTCTCTTGTCAGTGTAAAAATGAACAAGCGAATTTTCAACCGAATCATTCCGATCAATTAGTGAAAGATACGCAGCAACCCATACTGATTCTTGGCGGGCAACACGTAGTCATGAAACAAGACGCCGATATGCTGGACGATCCTAGCGTGATTTACGAAAACACAAGCACCATTCACGGTGTCGCGATTCACGTGGCTTCCGCGCAGCTGTTCGTCTCCGACTCCCTGGGATACGTGTACCGAACGTCTATCGTGAAACGCACGAAACCGACGGTGATACTCAGTCCCAGCCAGGCAAACTTTAAGCCGTTGAGCCTGTCCGTGGATTGGTTGAACCTTCACCTGTACATTTTGGGCGAGGTGAAACACGCGACCACAGTTTGGCAGATAGCGAGATGCAACTTGGATGGAAGAGGGTTGACGGTCGCGGTGGCGGGTTTCCTGACGAAACCCACGCACATTGAAGTCGACCCCTACAACGGATACCTGTTTTGGGTGACGAGAGGCGGTTTATACCGATTGGACTTGGCTGACATAAGTAACGGAGTGAAGCACGAGGTACGTTCGCATCGCCGGAACAAGCTATTTATTTTTATATTTCGGGAGCCTTTATATTTCGGGAGCCTCTTCATTCTGTTGTTGAAGAATCGACGATCATCTAACAGTAATACTTACACTCATACACGAAAGTATTCTAACGCTTACGCGTTTCTAACATTCAATTGATAAAATATATGTGTTAAACCGAAGCATTTGATATAATATGACACATATAACAAGGAATGGGTCTTAAGACTGCGTAAGCAAAATTAGAAAATAATTCAACAATATATAGCGTTTTTACGGTACATTTATTGTAAACATGTACCAGAAATGGCTCGCAAAAGTATTCGAACGAAACAATTAATGGTTATTTAAATTGAACGATTAAAGGTTTTAATAGGAAGTCGATCCACCTTTTGCTTTTATAACAGCCCTAAGTCTGTTTTCCATTGAGTGGACCAACTTAGAAGTAACATTTGCATCTATCGATTGCCATATTTCGATAATATTTCGTTTTAACGCTTCTTTCGAAGTAATAACCGTATTTCTTAATCGTTTTTCTACTTCATCCCATAAATGTTCAATGGGGTTTAAATCGGGACTTTGCGGTGGATGTGGCACCACGTGTGGAAC